AAATATGTACTGAATGCTATGTACTTCTATTCTTAGAAGAGTCTTTCTAAGAATATTCAAAATATTTCTCTGAAGGTTCTATGCATAATAAGACAAAAGAATAAACCCAACTTAATTATGTAAACCGGCTTGTTGGACAAATGAGTCATGTTAAATTGCTACTTTACTGAACGATAATCATTATAGTTGGAAAAATCCAAGAAAATAATTTGTATGGCTCTTGGAGCAATTAGCCATTTTCCCTTTTATACCATCCATCTCACTTCAAATACTTAAGTGTTTACGACATTCAAGGCACCAGGCCATGGGCTGTGAAAAATAAAAGGAGCTTTTTACATTGTCTGTCCTCAAGGAACTTTTAGCTTGATTGTCCAGAAAAGGTTACTTCATAGAACATAACTACTAAAATTACAGAATTGCAAAGGAGAAAGAACAACTTGCAGCTGGAGTCCTCAGGAATGGCACAGGGAGAAGATTAAAGGACTGATAGAATTTTGATGGGGCAAAGGGGATTGGACATTTCAGATGAGAGAATGGCAAGAATTCAGGGGCAAAGGCCAAAGGGGCACAGAGCAGTTTTAGTGTAAAGTAATGATTTATTTATGTTAGAATAAGGGTTTCCTTCCTGCAGTCATAGGAGATATGGCCAGAATGACATTGTTGAGGTCCTATCATGAAGCTTTGAACACAGGTTATGAAGTTTCTACTTTATCCTGTAAGTGCAATAGTTTCATGGAAAGCTCTGAAACAAGAAAGTGGTATTAACAAAGCATGAGTTTAATAAGATCATTCTTGGAGTGATGCACAAACTCATCATGAAGGGAGAAGAGACTGAAGGCAGAACGCTCAGGTAAGAGACCATGGCATTAGCCTAGGTGTGAGTTGGTAAGGACCAGAATCGGGTGGGAGTTAGGAGTGCAGGACAGACTAAATCTGTATGTGCCTTTTTTAAAAAATAAAGCATTTAACATGTCGCTATAAATATGTAATATAATAAAAATTCCAAAGCTAAATTTACTGGTAATCTTCATTGTTGAAGAGCAAACATTAAGGGAATGACTGACTATGAAGGTGTCCTATAAAAAACAGATACATGACTTCTTTATCTGCATGATGTTATTATGAATATAACCCAGCTTACTTATGTTTCCTGTATAATTTTCCAATTAAGACATTCTGAGTTTAGTCCTACGAAAGCCTGGTGTACTTTGGGGAACTGGTGTATTTTCTTTTTTCTCATAATAAGAGCTAAGACGCGCAGGCAATCTCCCCTGAACCCATGTAGGTTCTGAACCAGGCTTTCAGTTTAACCTCAACCTGTGTTGACTTTAGACCATAATCTTTGCTTTCTCCTTTGTTAACTCTCTTCCCCTCTTACTTTTCACTAATCCTACCTTCTTGGTTCCTCTTGTCCCCCCAGTAAGCAGCACCAAATGATTTTTCAGAGACAAAGGATAAATACATTTAATTTGTACCTGTGTCCCGCCTGCTTCTCCCCTGAGCCCCAACACGGCATTTCTACCTCTCGCTTGTATTTCGCCCAGCCTCTAAACAGAGGGCCCCAGCTAGCATCTCTCATGTCCAATTTCCTACTTTATTCAAATGTGATCTTTGAAGCAACAGCAGCACCATCACCTGGGAACTTTTCAGAAATGCAAATCCTCGGGCCCCACCCCAGGGTGCTGCACCTGAAACCCTGGCAGTGTGGCCAGGGAATGTGTGTTTTAACAAGCCCTCCAGGTGATTCGGACACCACATGTGGAAGTTTGAGAACTGCTGCTTTAGAGCATGACTGTCCTCTTGTCTTTCTCTTCTAGCCTATGCGTTCTCTAGGTCATGGTGTCTCTCATCCACTCTTTGCTCTGGTATCCAGGCAAATCCTTTATATACTTTTTAGGATAATTATAAATTCTTAAAGGAGCCTATCTGATTGGTGTAATTATTACCCCACCACAGTCAGTAAAGCATTTATGGTGCCCTACCATATGGTCACTGGCTGGTCCAGGCTTGAGCCATTCTTGGCACACCAGACAACACCAGGTCCTGGCAGGGGCCAGCTCCACAAAACAACAGACCAGCACTGCTTTCCTAAGACGAGTGCAGCAGATAGCCCTGGCTGGGTTTGCTCAGTGGTTAGAGCACTGGCCCGAGGACTGAAGGGTCCCAGGTTCAATTCCAGCCAAGGGCACGTACCTCAGTTGCAGGCTCATCCCTTGTCCATTGGGGCATGTGTGAGAGGCAACCAATCGATGTGTCTCTCTCACATAGATGTTCTCTCTCTCTCTCTCTCTCCTCTTTCCTCTCTCTCTGAAAAGCAATGGAAATAATATCCTTAGGTGAGGATTAAAAGAAAAAAAAAAGTGCAGCAGACAAACGAGAAGGAGGCCTTGTTCTTAATAAATTAATCTTTGAGTAGCTGCACGCAGTATGACTCCAGCAGAGCAGTAATTGGAATTTTCTTATAACCTGGATATCAGAGTCTTTTAGGAAAGACAAAAGGCAACAATTATTGTTTGACACCAGGGGAAACACCAGAGGCAAGGCAGTCTACCTGTTCTGATATTTAAAGATGGTTCAAGTTAGGGCTGAGATTGAAGATCCTATTATCAGTGACATGGATGGGGACCCAATTTATGTTATCCAGGTGCAATTCCATCTATATCCTTAAAGGAAATGTATTGTTAGATGTTTGCATTAGTGTGTAAAGACACTATTCCCTCCACTCTTTTAAAAATTGAGCATTTTATAAGTTCAAATATAGTGACAACTTCAAAAATTGGTTTAAAAATCTCAAGTTGCTTTGTTAACGACAGGAATGAGCAGAGAGGGAATGAGTTTCAGTGGAAATCTCACTGAGGCAGAAAATAAACTGGGGGATTTCTTGAAGTTCTGAATGGTGGCAAAATAAACAGATACATATTCTTGCAAAATAGGTGGGAGTTTCAAAGATTTATTCTCTCATACTTTAAAAGATGTTGGTAATCCATGCAGCTAATAACTGCGTCCAAGGCAGTCTTGTTCTACAGTTGATTTGGAAGAAAAAAAACACCCCCAAAACAAAGCACAAAACAACAACAAGAAAAACACAGAACAAATCTCTTTTAGGCATGAATGTAGCACTCAGTTCCTATCAGGAACTTTTGACTTGAAGAGTCAAGGTTAATGCATCTGAAGCAATAACAAAAGTCCCAGATAATAGATGGTTAAGTGCTAAATTACGTTACCCTTGACGTTCTTCTCTTTGTACATTCTTGGAAATCTCATCTCTCATGATTTTATCTAATCACTATGTAGGTCAGTGTTTCTCAGTCTTGAGTAATGGAGAGACAGCTGCTGAAAAAAATTTCTTACATTCCCTCAGTGTGGAATGAAAGGATTTTTATTATTATTTTACCAAAACATGTATCAATCTAAAAATAGTCACAAACCACTTAACCTTATGATTCTTGAACAACTATAAAAACAAATCTATAATACAGAAAATCTACATCGCCAATAGAATTTAAATTAACTTAGAGACATGCATGATGTTTTACTGAAGCAAAATCACCACTCTAAGCCTAAGCATGGTTCTACCTGCTAAGGAGCAACTTCCTTTGCTTTCAGTAGGTATTTCTTACTATATGAGACGCACAATGACTCAGCTTTCACTGCTTCTTTATTCAGACTATTGTGAAACTGTCCTTTATATCCTTCCTGTGGAGGCCTTTTTGGCCTGTGATTTGTACAACCACACCAGATATGTATTAACTCTGCTTGGGATGCTGTCTCAGTTTTTGGCAACAATTAATATAATACTATGGACTGTCAACTTGACTGAAATACAAAAGAAAAGGTGAAAAATAAAATCTTGGGTGATTGTTGATACAAGGTCGCCACCCAGATGATCCTAAATTATTTTGTTACTTTTAAAGATTGTCATAGAATGGTGCCAGGTGGGTACTGGAAATATGGAGGGAACACTAGGTAAAGGATATGAGCGTCTAACCACTACACATACACCCAAAACTCATGCAAAATAATATTGAATGTAAATTATAATTGAATTTTTTTTTTTTTTTTTTTTTTTTTTT